AACAGAATTTACAAGGCCATCCGGTGGAATGATATTCTGGCGAAGAACATCAGTGATCAAACGAACGTGGAAGCGACGTACACAGTAGCTGGCATCATGTTGAATTCCACTTCGGCATAGGCCGATTTGGCGGGTTCAAGTTCCCGCGTTGCCACGTCTTTCGTCAGGAAATCTCCTAAATACTTCATTTGTGGAGAAAACCGTCGGCCGGACTCCACATATTTCTTTTTTGAGTGCATGCCAATGCTTTTGGGGGTTGTAACCCTTGACAGACTCGAAATGGGAAACGAAGACTCATACCGTCGACGGTCGCCTTCACTTCAAATGGTTTCGAAATCAAAACCACAGCGCTTTTGAACTTTGAAAGTCTAAGGTAGAATATTAATTAATTAGTAAGAATTTAACTCGGTCACATCGCATGATCGCTGCCTGACCCTCAAAAACAAAAAAAATGGTACATGTACGCTGCTGTCCATTCATTTGAGCGGCACTGGAAACAAGTTTTTGCGGCGCTTTGTCACACATTTCCACATGAAATACCGGTCGCTCCTTCAAAAATTTTATCAAAGTGACAAAGGAAATATAAAATTCTTTAACGTAATGTCTTTTAACCCTCGCGTGCCGCGTGTTTATCATGTAAATTACTTTCTACGGGTAGATGACGCGAGCTTTTATTTTTAAGATACATTTCGAATGATCAAAATCTTTTTCATTTTAAACAGAAAGGTCACGCCGCAATAAAACGGTTGCGTGGGATGCTGGCTCCTCGCCTTGCCTCGCGCTTAAATGACGCGTCTCTCGCGGATACTCGGTGTCTGGTTGGGACTCTGTAAAGTGCGGATCCGGACGGCGGATAAGGACGGCGGATGGCGGATGGCGGACGGCGGATGGCGGACGGCGGACGGCGGACGGCGGACAATAATAAAAAAATAAAAAAATAAAAATAAAAAAAAACAAAATAGACGTATAAAATAAATAAACGAGATAAATGAATAAGACGGCGGACGGCGGACAATAATAAAAAAAAATAAAATAATAGAAATAAAATAAAAAATAAAAATAAAATAAAATAAAATAGACGTATAAAATAAATAAACGAGATAAATGAATAAGAAAACATAAGAAAAGCGAGAAATAAAAAAAAAAAAAAAGAAAATAATTATTAGTCGAGACATTCTCCAATCACTGTCGGAATCACTGTCGGAAATCTTCGGAGAGGAGTCAAACAGAGTGGCCAGACACGTGGCTGGCTCGGATTTCACTAGCAACTCGTGCGAAGAGAAGATCTGTTGTTTTGGTTTGCAGAATTTTGGTTTGTTGTTTTGGTTTTGCAAAATGAACAAGAGAAGCTACGCTGATGTAGTATCTGGAAGTGGTAAGTTCATCTTTGCGCAGTTGTCTGTTTTATTTGGTGTTTGGTGTTTGCCGCAATGCTTTATATCTCTTTCAGGGTCATCGGAATCAGAGTCAGAGTTATTGTGCAGGCAAGTAACCTTTTAACCCTTTTAACCTTTAAAACGCGGACTTTTAGTGTAGGAAATTTGGTTTTGTGGTACAAAGTGTGGTAGAAAATGTGGAGTGTGGAAAATGCGAAGTGTAGAAAATGCGAAGTGTGGTAACTGCAAACTGCACTGCAACTGCACTGTAACAGCAGTGTCATAATATTTACAAATTGATCAGTCCGGCCGGGAACTGTCACAAATGGTATGCCGTTTTTCTGATTACAGCGCAAAAACAGTGCCGGATTCATAGTGGAAACAAGCGGACGAGAGCGCCATATGTACACTTCAGAAAATAATTATTTCTTGTAAAAGTACTGAACCATGCATATGTCAAACGACAGGACATAACGTCCTGCCTATTTTTAACTCATAAAAGGTGGGAGGCCTTGCCTGGCGGCCCTTTCTTTCTCCTGTCCCCTGCCCCCTGTACGAAACCTGGACAAGCAAACTACTCTTTTCGAAGTAATAAAATCACCAAATTTTATTTTTTGTTTGCAGCCAAATTCGTTGTATCGCGATGCGCGAAATACAAAGTTCGAAGGATTTGGGGTTTTTCTGTTCCGTCAATCATGCCAGTAGGGGGTGGAGCTATGTAATTCAAAATGCAACGCGCCTGCTTGAGATTTCTGCGAGACAAGAATACACTCTTTTTTTTATAAGAACGTCTAAGTTTGATGCCGAGGCTGAGCGTTCTTTTGGCGATTTGAGGCTGAAACGTTCTTAAAGATGTTCTTAAATTTACCTGGTATAGTATTTCAACCAATTAGTGCGGACGTGACCAGGCAAACTATGAAAGAGCATTTCTTGCTGAGATATGGTATCAAGTTGCTCGCACATACTGGTTTGACTTGACTACACTCCGGGGGGGGTACTCGATATATCCTTGGTGCGGCCCGGTCCCTCACACCCTGACCCTGTTTAAGACAAAAATCGCTGATTTTCCTACCCTGTTTAAGACAGAATTCCGATTTTTGATACCCTGTTTAAGACATTTAACCCGAAACTATACCCTGTGTAAGACAATAATAAATATCGAAACTCTTTCTTATTTAATCCATTGGCAATCACAAAACTATTTACAGCTTGATTGACAGAGTCACGAGGAGCTCTTAACAGTTGATAAAATCGATACCGTGATTAACACAAAAAATGAAAAAATCGATACCCTGTTTAAGACAAAAAATGATAAAATCGATACCCTGTTTAAGACAAAAATCCCGAAAAACATACCCTGGCTGGCCGCACGTCCCCATTAAGCCCTTATAAGGGAGTCCCCCGGGACTACACTCCGCATTTTCTACCATGTTTTCTTTCACAAGTAAAAAGGTTTTTGAGTGTTAGTCAAACTGCTATTCATTTTATTAATCATTATTTCACAATTTACAGTGTTTTTGCCCCCCCTGACACGACCTCGTCACCAATATTCAAACGACACAAGAAAACCACAACTGGGAAGAGCTCAGGTAAATACCGGTTATTGCAAAACCTACTTTACTAGATTAGTTTAATTTAGTCTAATTTCATTAGACCTGGAGCTGCGTACTGTCCCAAAGTGTGCCAAACGAAGTTTCTTCTTTGCGTTTCTCCAGCCTTGCTTTATTCGCTCCCTCTTTCGTTTCTTTATTTATAGGGAGGTTGTGGCGAAAGGCGCTAAATAAGGAGATCAGTAAGGCTAAGGCTAAGAAAACATCGATAGCTGGGTAAGTGGAAATTGATTTATTTTAAACTTGAGTCAACGAAGGATTTCGGTTAAAGTCACATGTATAAATAGAATGCGAATATACCAGTGGGGGGCTCCCTTTTAAAAATGATTGGCTGCTCGTCATACCTTTTAGGCGGTCAACATTTGTACATCGGTACCGCTTAGGATGCTAAAATCTAAAATGACCACAGTTAGAATTATCACAGTACCTTTTAGGGTATCAAGCCACACTCATCAAACAAGATTCTGCTACCTTTTAGGGTGTTTTTGAAAATTTCCGATGAGCACTCCGTGATTTTTATATGCGAGATGCCCCCCCCTCCCGGGATGAATGTGCCATAATGTCACCAATGTTCGTTCTTGTGATATTCAAAAACATAAAATATAGCCCGTACGCGATCGACAAGGTTTGTTTATTTTTTTCAGATGTGATACGCAAGGAAATCGTGAAAGGGATGGACAAAGGTAGGCGGTTTTTCAGCATTACAAACAAAATTAATGTTTGTTCAATGCGACTTTGGCGCTCAAGTTCCGACTGATCTTGTTATATTTCTACCGCACAATTTAACTTTTCTCCTTTAGTTTGAACATTTGTTTTTAAACGCGTGCGTTGACGAAAATGTCTTGAATAAAAAATCGCGTACAAAAAAAATTTAATTCTAATTGATTAAAAAGATTGAGCATTTTATGTAACACAAGATGAAAAAGGTGTAATATGAATTTATACGACAACGAAGAAACGCGAAGGGCCTAATTATTAAACAGCTATCGCCGGCCATCGGACGTATTAGGGAAATGACTAAAGATAACCGAAGATTACCGAAGGTATCACATCTTCACGTTTATTTTGAACTTCATGCCTTGACTTATTACGCTTTCGTTGTTTGCATTTTTTTTATTTACTGTAGACATGGCACAGTAGACTGTCCGATAACTATTTCAAGTCCAGAAACCAGTCCAAAAAAAAAGGAAGAAGTACCCTGGTATGTAGATTATTTTAGATAGAAAGAAATCATTAGCAAAAACAATCACTTATCCCAAAGCACATGGTATTGAGATGTTCTTTTCACTTGTACTTTTGCCATGCAATCCTCAGTACCCAATGAACTTTGGAGAAGATTTCATGGTAATACGTGAATCGTCAGGTCAATCCTAATTTTTCCATAAACAAAATGTGTTAAGTGTTACCCTATTATTGAAACGCTTAGACACCATTAATTGTTAATAGTTGGAATGGTCTGTGTGTTTTCACATGGTCTTCCACAGTCCGAATTGTTTCCCTGTTAAAAATGATGTGTCTTGCTTGGCACTTCTTAGCCTGAAACCTCGTGTATGCGCCTTCACATTCTTGTTGTTTTATTTTTAAATTTTCTCGTATTTTGACAAATTATACGCCCAAGTTAATGCTTTGTCATCGTCTTGTTATTCATTATTTAGGACACGCGTTAATGTCGATTCTGCTACCAGAAGACATCTTTTCGATGCGGATGATGATGAACCACTTGAGGTATAAAATTACATAATTCACATCCGTTTGATGGTATATTGATAACTAGAGCAACAACGAATTTATTTTCCTTATTAAATGAGAGTTGCTTTTTCCTGAATTCTCGTATTGCTTCTATGTACAATTTACTGAATGGGATCGTTACATATGAATCATATATACTTCACCAGGCTCTGTTCTCATAGCCTCTCTCAACCCAGGACTGTAAATTTGGGTACGGGCGAACGTTGACATTACCTGACTCTAATCTGATCTATAGGTCAAATTTCAAGGAAACCACGGTCAACTAATGGAAACTAATGACTCTGAGGATACTTACAGCAGGTTAGTACGTAATAGTATTAATACATGGCAATTACCTGTGAAAATGTTACAGTTAACTGAAAAAATGCTGTATACTGTTAGATGTAGAGTTCTTTCCGCCGGGTTTCGTCCACATGAAATACAAAAGCAAAACGTATGGTTCACATTCGTAAAGGTCAAGCAAATAAAATTGAGTGTCGCGTCGTTTACCTCTTTCTAAAGGTATGCTGGAGAATTCTACGATGGAGACAGACGAACACCGGTATTTAAATGGTGTTCTTCGCCATTAGCTTCAGAAGAGGCCGTCTTCCGCCTTCTACGCCCTTGCGATGAAAGCTTAGTTGCCACTGCCACTCCCAGGAACGTTGCCCACAACTGCGTATTCATGGTCGATTTAGATCGCTTGCCTCACCAAGAAGATGTGAAATGTGATAATCTAGGTTCTTGGCGAAACAATGGAACCAAGAATCGCGTGTACGAAATAAATGAGGATGGGTACCCTGAACTGGTTGACGAAGAAGAAGCAAGGGAAGCAACAGGCACATATACTCTCAAAAGAGTGTACTAAAAAAACAAGGCAGCTCCCGACCTGAAGAAAAACATCATGACTTTGAAAGGTAATGTTAACTACTTTTCTACCAGCAAATAGTACATTTTACTAGTGTTTTAATGCAAATGCTGCGTTTTGATTGGCTGAGCTACTCGTGCAGCCGTTAGAATAGGAGGACGCGCGAGCGAGTGTATAGGTGTTCGAAATAAGTGAAGATTAAATGCTATTTGGGGAGAAATGGGGACAAATAATTGGAAATGGTTTTTGATAATTTTGTGAGAATTTTTAATAAATAACTGTATATTTAGCTCTCAATTTATATGCTCATGATCTAATTGTTAAATACAGGTTGCTTTCGACTTAGACAAAGAGAGTGGTGGCAGTGGTACTTTATTTACTCGTTGTTATTTTAGCCATAGTTTTCCTTGATTTTTACTTCCATTTCATCCTGTAGAATATCCCAAGCTGTGCTTAATTCAGTATCTCTTCGATGCGGTGGAGCATAAAATTGATGTACCATGCCATGGAAACGTGAAGAAAGGTGGAAATCCATACACGCGTACTAAGCCAAGTGTTATCGCGAACCTACGTTCCGCAGTAAAAGATCAGAAACCTAAAGCAGCATATCATCAGGTTGAGGAGATGGTCGGTGGTATCATGAACGTAGATTGCCTATCTGACCTGCCAAGGAACAGAGACCAAGCCAGTTATTTAAGGCGAGGCTCGTCAGAAAAAAAGGACCACGTTGACTCCTTAGTGATATTGCTGGAGCAGTGTAAAAGACAGCAGTTAGCAAACCCCAAAACCGCCTTTGTTCGTGAAGTTTCTTGCGCACCAGAGTTACGCTGCGTCATGTGTTACGACGACCAGCTTGCTGACATAGTGAGGTTTTGTACAAATCCTAGCAGCTTCGGGATCCTAGGCGCTGACCCAACGTTCAACCTTGGGAAGTTTAACGTGACTGTAACCACATATACCAACTTGTTAGTGGTTGATCGTAAAACGCGCAGGCATCCTGTGATGATTGGTCCCCTATTCATGCACCAAACAAAGACGTATGACGCCTATAACTACTTCTTTTCCAAACTGGTTAGCTTAAACAAAGATATTGGAAACGTACTGGCCTTCGGTACGGATGGTGAAGAGCCTCTTTTCAAAGCAATGGAACGCAACATGTACCACGGCATCCACTTAAGATGCTTTGGGCATTTCAGGGACAACTGTAAAGAACAGCTGCGCGCCCTCCACGAGAAGTTCAAAAGGAGTTCCTGGATGACGTGTTTGGACGCAGGCTTGAAAATGGTAGCATGGAAGCTGGTAAGTTAACCCTCGAACGTACAAGGGGGAGGATGATTTCAAGACAATTTTGTTGTTAGTCCGTGCCGTCATTACTAGCTGTTCGTTTATCTGTGAGACACAATCGGTTTATATGGCAACAAGATATGACGTCATAAGCATAAGCAAGCCATATTTAAAAATGCATATTTTTAACCTTTTTTTTTTTTTTTCAGTGAGTTTTACAACTCTAGCCAAAGATATTTTCAATTTCCGATTTTAGTAAAATCCAAGATAACGTCACGGACCCCAGCAGCGCCATAACCCTTAATAATTTCCTTATCTTTTTAGATAAAATATTTCCCAAATATAGTAACACTGCAAAAACCCAGGGGGGGTTGCAACCACCCCCCCCTCCCCCTCTTTCCCTTTTCTCCCCTTGTACGGTCCACGGTGGGGTATAAGTTTGCGTGTACTCTTTCACTATATCAGATCCCCTCCCTCTATGAGAAAGGGAAAGAAAGGGCCATGGGAACGAGGTTGCAGGAAAATCCTAAACTTTATTTCGTTTCTCACTGATAAAGGTCTTTTGGATTGCGAGACAGAAGCTGACTTTCAAGCTCAGTTGGTGTCACTAAAGGACGTGTGGGATGAGCGAGAAAAGGCCCATCTGCCTGCTGGAAAGCAACCTTCATTTCACAAATATATCTCGGAAAAGGTGACAGCAGTTCATGTACTTAGGAAATGTTTGAATTGCGGGAGTTTAATTTTGGTAATTTGGGTTTCTGGTAACAAATATATCAACTCGATTTATCAAATTTATTCAGAAACCGCAGAGACTCTTCCCTATTTGTTGTAATTGTAATGTTGGTAATGTTTTCAATTCAAATTTAAATTCAGCTTTTATGGCCGGAGTTTATTTTTACGATATCACATTTCGTGAAACGCTGGAAACCCCGCAAAATTCGCGAAAGTTAGATTGCGCGCAAATTTCATGCCACACGGTTTTCTGTGTGGAATATGGAGAATTTATGTCATCGCCATTTGTAATAACATGCGCGGTTCATATAGCAACGGTTTCATTCAATATTCTTATATTTATGCAAGACCTTCATTTTACTGGAGGTGCTATGTAAGTAACAGTTGGCCAATGACACAAATTGCAATTGAAATCGGACATCTGGCCTTTCATTTCTAAACCAGCCAGCTAGAGATCCTTTTGTTATTGCGTTTTCCGGAACTTGGAACTTTTTAACGTAATCACGAGCTTGACTTGTACTTAAAAAAAAAAAAAAAAAACGTTTTGAAGTACGACAATCCTTGTTTTATGTATAGTTATGGAAAATGTAGAGAATTTACGCCTTATGCTATTAAATTAAAGGACAACATTGTCTCATTTTATTTCAGGAAAAAATGATCCAAGACAACATGTTGCGCCCCATTCGGTTGAATGCAGGCCTAGGAAATCCTCCAGAAGCATATTATAACAACATGCCAGAATCAGCAAATAAAATTATTAAAATGGGAGTAGACTTTCAAAAGAATGAAATGTCACAATTTAACGACAAGATGGAGAAAGTAATTCAGCAGCAGCGACGGGACTGTGAATCAGCCGTAATAAACAGAGGTCCATATGCTCTCACAGACGACTACCTTCACTTACAAATGTCTCCTGACAAGTGGTTTTCCCTGAATGCTCGTCAGCGTGAAAGGCATTTGAAAAAGTTCTGGGAAGAAGTACCTGGAAGAAATGTTGATGTGCAGGATGACAGTGGTAATGTAAACGATGACAAGGAAGAGAACACTTCCCTTACCAGCCCTCCAGAGCTGTCTGTAAGACCAGAGGAGTCAGGTGCAGCTGGTGTAGCTCTTCTTTCCTAAAAGAGATGTACCGGCAAGCATCCATTCTTCTCCTCAAGAAAGATTCCATTGTGGAAATACCTTTTAAGCCCCATACGTTTATGGTTGAAAGCGACAAGGGAAGGCCACATTATGTTGTACTAGCAGAAAGTGGGAAGGTGACATGCGAGGACTGTCCTCGTTATAAGTCTACAAAAAAATATGTGCACATTCTTTAGCCGTGGCAGAGAAGTGCGGTAAATTACAGAATTATCTCACTTGGTTTAAGAGAAGCAGCCACACCTTAACTACAACGAGTTACGTCACCTGTGACAGCGCGCCAACAGTTGGCAAAAATCCCAGAGACCTTCAACGTCGCGTAGGAAAGGTGGTAGAGGGCAAGCTGTCAACATTGTGCCTCGACCAAGTGCCAGTGAGCAAGCTCCATCACCCTCCGCAGCGCCGACGCCCTCTCCTGTACTACCTCCCACCGCAGTGCCACCAGCCTACAAAGCGCCTCCACCCTCTCCATCTGCAGCGCCACCACCCTTCGCAGCTCCGCCCTTCGCAGCTCCGCAACCAGTGGTTTCGCAACCGTCAGAGCTGCCCCTGACATTTCCTTTAAGTCCTTCAAATGCGCTTGGGCGGGTTCCATATCCATCCCCACTGCCAGGGCAGTTTATTGTTTATCCTTAAAGTTCTGCCCACCTCAAGTGAGCATATGTTATGGGTGTTCTAACACCCTTAAACCGGGAGGGCAGATTCCGCTTCCTCCTCATGATCTAGTCGTAGCCTCCAACATGATGCGAAGCTTCCAGCACGGAGGGCAAATGAGGAGCAAGCAAAGCAATGTATATTTTCATTGTAGTGGTGCCTGTATTAGGGCTAAACAGCCATATTTCTCTCATTGTAGCATGCCATGGTTTATACGTTCTTCGCTAACCGATCAACAGCTTGACTTTCTCAGTAAAATGTTTCCAGTTTATGCCCTTCCGTGAATTGTTATGTATTGTACGTATATAGTGCAACACCATTGGCCCGGTTATTTTTCCGATTCTGAAAACGGACGGCTAAATATCTCAATATGTACGAGTAGCGATAGAAATCTGTTGAACATGGATACGTCTTAATAAAGTTTTGTTTGTTTGTTGGACGAAGGTTCTTCTCCTCTGTTGACTAAATATAGTACGCTGCAGCATATTAACATGGTACCAGAGTCTTCGCTTTGTACTTCTTTACCGCCACAGACAAACCTAACATTTTTTTGATTTTGTTTCGCTTGAGAAAAGAGCGATGAAATGGTTGGACTTAAATAAAAATAAAGCAATAGCTCTTGTGTACGTGGCCACTGGTTCCGTTTCGAGTCCTGGTTCCTTTCGTATCAGTGGACAAAAGAATTTTGACAGATAAAAGTGTAAATTAAAGTTACTAAAATTAGGCGAAACCTCGCGACATAGCCCCTTTAAGTCATTCCTCTAAAGAATAACTAAAATAAATAGATAGCTGAATTTAAATGGAATTTGAAGAGGTTTAAAGAAGGGATAGAAGAAAGAAAATGATTTTTGGAACACCAACAGTTGATACACACAAGAGCACTCCGGGTTGCTAGTGAATATTTCTTATTTCTCTAAAGTTTACAAAAATTTACATCTTTTTCTCATTATTCAGTCTTTTTTTTTCTCATTATTTATTATTTACGTCTATTTTATTTATTTTTATTTTTTAAAATTATTATTGTCCGCCGTCCGCCGTCCGCCGTCCGCCGTCCGCATCCGCCGTCCGGATCCGCCGTCCGGATCCGCACTTTACAGAGTCCCTGTCTGGTTTACTTATTATGTTCCGGTCTTAATTAATTTTATGACACCAAGCAAACACCTTTCTATCGCGTACTAGGGCATCAATTTCCGGCGCCTGCTGAGATTTTTTTTCTTGAGCAAAGCTTCTCATGAATAAAAAGGCCTCCAAAATGATGATTGTCTTAGTATGTGGCGCTTTTTTCACGATTTTTAAACTAGGAACGTGCCTGAATCGGTCTTTAAAAATTAAAAGGGTTTTTTTTTATATATTTTTTATTTTACTCGTTAATTTTGATTAACGTTTTTGTGTTTCCAGGACTCCTTCTCCTTTAGACAGGCTGGGTAGCTCTCAAGACATTAAGGATATACGAATGGATGTAAAATGAAAAATAAAATAAAACTGTAACATGTAAATCCCACACTATTTTATTGTTTACAAGTCATACTCAAGCCACGTCAATTGTAGCCCCGTTTATTCTATTAATTAATACACTATCTTAAAAATAAATCATTTAGTCTTTGCCAATATCAGATTTATTTCTTATCTGTTACAAACATGTAATTAAAGAGCAGTTATAACGCACGTGACGGAGTGCAAATTTCTGTCAGTTTACCCTTCGTTATCACTTTGGTAACATGAATTGTCCATTCAGAGTTTAATAAACATTTAGTAAAGTTACAAGTTCAAAATTAAATATTTGTTTTGATTGAGAACAATTAGAATATCAAGTTGTGGCTGTTAGTGCCGGAAATTAAAACACTCAAAAGTATTCAAGGGTATTTCAGCATTCATTCATAGCTATTTTTCAACAAAACAACAACTCTTCACGTGTATTACGATTTTTGCAATATTTTTTTTCTTTCTCTGCACGACTCCGATGTGAGATTTAAGGGGAAAGCAAACAAACGGCCACTTAATTTTTCTTTCTCGTTCGGAACTTGAATATGATTCCTCGTTATTTAACCCTGGGAGATTTCACTTTCATTTGACAAATTGAGTGAGTTGAACATATGCCAGGTTATCTAAAACTCCCTATTTTAAAGGTTACGCATCCTACGTAAAAAGGAACTAGACAAGTTCGTGACAAAATTGAGGCAAAAGTGAAAAAAAAAATACAGTAGGGTCACAGGAGACAATAATATTCAATTTCCTCTTTAGAGGCTTCGTCACTTCCTGTGCCTGAAACAACATCCTGTGTTTAATATACTCTTTATCTTGGTATTCAAGATCACGGCACGTACGTTGCAAGACTAAAGCTTACCCCGACCTATCATAGGTACTTTCTGACTACATTTAGTATCAGTGGCTGTTTAGAAAAGCACTCTCCTTTCTAAAGTACGTGTTTATTCTGGAGGGTATCTCAGTGTTTTAGGTACTGAACTCCGACGGAAACGCAGACGAGGTCACACCAAAAACACTGAACTAAATCGCGCCCCTGATTTTCAGCACGATGAGGTCGGCAATTAAGTGAGCAGTGGCTTAAAAAAACTTGCATTTTGTTCCACTTTTTCATCACCTAATACTACAGAAGCAATCAAGAGTGACGCGTCTCCTCTGCATGACTGTCGAAATTTTGAATCATGGCTGCCACTCACATAACTTTCCGTGTTTATTTGCAGGTTAGTGTTGTCTGGCTGTATCAAGGTGAGAAGTTAAGGAACAAAACCTTAGCTTGCACCATGTTTACGCCGTTACAGAGGGTGTTTTTAGCAGCTCTTATGGCTTTCATACCGGTTAAAGAATCATTCTGCACAACTTGCTCAGGTAGGTATGTTGCTCATTTTACTGCGAAGATCATGTTTACCGTTTCATATCTCCCGACAGGCATATCTTTATCTGCAGTTCAAAATATGATTCATTTCATATATTTCGATTCATGTAATTTCCACCAAAGGGCATATTACGAACTCACATGGCTATAGTTCTCCAGTTTTCTTGATTAGCTCAATGGATAGAGAAGTGCGTCCCGTCATCGCAATGTTTTAATTCTCGGTCAAGCCCGTACGGAATTATTTCAGGTTAGGTTGTTTTTTACAACGACTGAATTGCTCAGGTATTGTCTCAGTCCAACCTGATCTGATTGAACGAATGGAATACAGTACTCCAAATAGCTCTTGCAGATTCAGGCAAGGACCAGAGTCAGAGTGTCAGCGTTTTATACAAAAATAAACTAGTAATAGTTGACACTACAGCTGCCCCCGCTCTGTATACTGTCGGCTCGTTGTGTAGCTCTTTGAAATATACCGATTCATAGGGAAGATTTTCACTCATATTCCATACAACAGGTGAGATAAATACAGGAAACGCAAGGTTCCATGCACAGTTTCAGGTCGATTTACACAGCTTTGATCAAAACATTCTCAGTTTCTAGAATAGTTTATTCTAAACCATAGGAAAAGATTTAATAAGAAGTTGAATTTTTCGCTATTTCTAAAAAATTTACTTATTTCAGGAAATTTTGCCATCTAAACGGTTCATGTATTAGAAAAAGTATTACTTTAACGTTATGAGTTTCTCGAAGAATAAATTCACGCTTTTGTAGCAAACCTCGGTGACAGATGTTTCTGTTGGTTTCCGTCCGCCATGTTGGAACTCATCCGGGTGAGCACCTGCATGGGGTCTCCATACAAATCTCTATAAGTTTGGGTAAAACATTTCTTCGTATATCTCGTATACGAAATATTCCTCTGACCTGAACCTTAGCGAGGGTCTTTGTATATGTACCTCCTTTCATTTCCTAGATTCTGGACTTTATCTATTGAACGGTTTTGATTTTTATTTTGATCTATTTTGAATGGCGTGACACTGAAAACCAGCAATTCACACTCACGCATTCTAGTCTTATTTTAAACTTTATAGCGGAAGGACACCTGTGAGCAGGGAACAAGTCAGCACAGAATTTGATTGTCGGCGAATTTCTGCAATCGTCCATCATTCTGCTAGTCAGAAGCTAGCCGTTGTTCACTCGTCTTGCTTGTTTGGGGCTAAGTCTTATTCCGGTCAAAGAGAGAGAAAGAGTGTCTGGCAAGGTTTCCAATGAAAGATTTGTGAACTCGTGTCTGGCAAACTCTCCCAGTGTTTATTGCGTTCGAGATACGAGAACGCAACCCCTAATTTGTGTTGGGTGTTCTGTGCATTATTGGGTCTCCTGTGCAATTAATAAAGATTGCATTTGTCGTCGTCGTCGGCACACATTTGCCTCGCTTTGAAGCGCTTGCTTACGTTTTGCCTCACTTTGACGAACT